AGCGAGCCGAACACGAACACACTTTTTGAGCTCGAAATATAAACGAGCGTGTTCGGCTCGTTTACACCCCCAGATGTGAGACATATAGGTCCTATAAAATTTGAAAAGTAAAGTTTAGCTGTTAGATATATAAATACATAGGAATTGGGTGGTATGATGTAAATGCCTCATTATTTTATTTTATGAACACAACAGAATCTCATTCACATCCCAAATTTTGTTTTGCCTTCATTTTATTGAAAATTGTAGCCCCTAATTGTTACTTTTAGGTATCGGTTGGTCGCGGAATTATTACTGCGCACGCCCTCACAAGTTTGGAAGCTCGTGGCATTCTTTTCGTGTCTCCTGGAATGGAGGTTACTTCCTGCTGCATTTTCTTTTATGATTATATTAAAATTCATGGGATTATAAATATTTATGTTTTTTTCTCTTCAATTGTTTGAAGACATATGATGGGATGATAGTTGGTGAGCATTCACGAGATGCTGATCTAGACGTAAGATGTTTGAACTCATGATCTTCTCATTGCTACATTTTAACCGTTATATTACTGCTAACTTTGTCTTATCTGCGTCTCTTATAGGTAAATCCTGTAAGAACAAAAGAACTTACAAACATTAGAGCTCCGGGAAAAGATGAAAATGTTCGATTATCGCCGCCTCGCTTGGTAAAGTTTCTTTTTTTTGCTGCGGTTTATGTCTTCGGCCATAGATCTGACCACAATATATTTATGCTCAAAAAATGTTTGGTCTTGTAAATGGTTTTGGGAAATTTACATACATATGTATTTATGCATCTAACACCCAAAGTTTGATATTTTCATTTATAATACTTAGATGTTAACAACCTAGGAAGATTTACATATATATATATCACTCAATATCTATGCATTTACATATCTAATGCCTAAACATTAATCATTACATACAAACCACCTTACCTATGGTGAAAAGGTGAATTTAGTTTCCATGAAAAGGTGAAGTTCACTTTTTAAAAATTAAAATGATTGTAATTGTGATATAATATGAAAGACTTAGGTGACATAAATGTAGACTTGGGTGACATAAATGTAAAAAAAATAAAATTTTGATGTTAGATATGTAAATACATAAGAATTGCGTGGTATGTACGTAAGTGCCCCAAAAACCCATGCATGAAAATGTATATTTCACTTTTAAAAAAGTTAATAATAGTGGTATTTTTGATGCAATGACAAAGATTCGAGTGCTATGTATATAAATATAGAAGTTTTGGTATATATGAAAATTGTGGCATGTAAGTAAATGCCCCAAAATTTTAGTCATATGAAATATGCCCAAGTTTATTTGAGATGTATATTGGTATTGTCGTTCTAAAGCACTTCGAGACCATTTAATTTCTTGAAATTTCAAATTTTGCAGATGACTCTGGAGGAAGCCATTGGATATGTTGCCTCCGATGAGCTCATTGAGGTTAGTCTCAAAATTTCATGAATATTAGTGAATATATAATGTGAAATAAATTGTTTGTGTATTGATTGAATGTTTTCACCTTCTATCCTCATAGGTTACCCCTAAGGTTATAAGATTAAGAAAAAGATACCTTGATGCCAACAAGAGGAAGATGATGAGAAATAAGCCTACATATTGAAATGAGTCATCATGGTAACAAAAGCTTTTAATTTCCTCCCCCACACTAAATCTTATTTATTTATTATTCATGTGTTGCTCAAAAAAGTTTTGGCATGTAACATGTTATTAATATTTATTTGTATACTATATTTACCACAAAAGATAGTTAAGAAAAATAAAATGTTTTTTTTTTTTAATAAGGTGAGCACCTTGCTATATATATACATATTCCTTGTCCAGTTGGTAGGCAAGGTCACTGTAAGTCCACTTTGGCAAGGGTTTGATCCCTATCGTGGTGCAACCGTGGTGCGTGGGGGGTCGAAATATAGACACATGGCGCGGGCTCTTATCATGGGATAATAATTTAAATTGAAGCCCAATTGTTCAAATTTTAATGTGCTCTTAAGAAAATTAGTTCTTTTCTCATTATCTAAACTATTCTTTTGTGGAATTGGATGATCTTCAATTTCTTTGGCAATTATGCAGTACATTTATTCTATCCTAGATAATCCATTAATTCCACTAGGAATGATTGGACTTAAAGTCATTGAAGCTTATTATTTAAAAAGTTAGTTACAAAAATTTAAAATAGAATGCACATGCATCACTTAATTCCTATGCATTTTTGTATGCATCTAAATTTCAATTTTGACTTATATGCCAACTTATTTATGCATGAAAATATGTATTTTATCTTAAAAATGACGGTAATTTTGTTGTGATATGATAGATTCGGTTGTATAAATGTAAAAAAAAAATGAAGTTTAGGTGTTAGATGTGTAAATGCATAGAAATTAGGTGATATGTATGTAAATGACCCATAAATAATGGCCTAGAAGTGAACCTTTCAACAATTTGTATGTTGTAGTTCAATATTTTTTTTAGAGAGTAAGGGTGCGTTTGGGGTAGCTTGTGCGTTTCAGTATAAGCTGTTTATTTTGAAAGGCCGCTCGCGGGCAGGCCGCGAGGCGTTTAGTGTAAAAAATCTAAACGTGGTTTCGGATAAACTGGTGAAACGTGCGAACCAAACAGTACAGTGCACTTATAAGCTGCCCCAAACGGGTCCTCCACCTAAAGTTTTTGGCACCAATTGATGTAATGATGCCTTAAAGATATTCGATGATGATGGATGGAGAGCAGAAGTAACACACATGAACGTATATGACATTCCCAACTTCTTCATTAAGAAAAGGGTACACTTAAACCTTATAAAAATGGGCAGCAAGCTAAGTTTGCAAAGGTAAAATATTCAATTTGAATTCATATTAAGACTTCCTACATCCAATAAGTCTTATGATTATTTGTAAGTTTTTGTAGCATAAAATGTAGAAAGCAATAGGAATGTCAAATGTTATGTGAAGTATATGAGAAGTTATAATCATTAAGACACATAGTTTTATGAAATGAAGTCTTTAGCATTTTTAGTGCCATTGTCATTAGGGTTGTAAAAAAAACTCATTTTTTGCCGACAATTCGTGTTATATTCATTAATGAGTTTGTGTTCGATTCGTTTACTTGTGTTCGATTTGTTCGATAAGTAAATGAGACGAATGTGAACAAATTTTTTTTTTCGTTCAGTTAGTTAAACGAGCTAAACATGAACAGTGATGCGTTCGTTCATGTTTGAATCGTTATTATTCGAAATATAAAATAATTATATATAAAAAAATTTATGATATTTTGAAAAATTAAATTTTATAAATTATAATATATAATAAATTAATAATACTAATATATTAATATACTATATTAGTAATATACTAATATAAATATTATATATTTATATAA